ATGGGCCGGACGTACCTGGCATGGAAAGACCTATATTTTCTTCGTGGACTCCGGACTGAAGGTGAGCGCTAGCGGTTGCATCAAGCAACTAAAGAAGAATATCCTCTTCACATGTCGTCGCCCGTACCTTCTTGGAAACTTCTGTACTGCTACAGGATTGGGTGACACCACATGGAATCACAGGGCGTTGGAACTTTCTTGCCGTACTTGGAAATGGAAGCTCGGTGAGTACCTGAATGAAGTGTGTCTAAGCTGGTCACCGTAGACCTCGAAGTCCCTCATTACGTGGTTACGGGCGGAGTTCAATAGGGTGGTCTACAGTGGCGGAGAAATCAACGATTTCGCTGAACTCAGGCACCCACTCACGGTCGCTTGGCAGAATCTCTCGATGGCGCTCCTCCAGAAGGCTGTGGCGGACTGATGATAGTACTTAATGTGCTCTTCAAGATGGTTCAATAAAGTGTAGCTTATAGCAGCGCCTCGAAAGTCAAGGAAGAAAAGTGACTTTTTTATTGCCCCACGCCCCTCCTGTATGTGCACCATGTTACACTTGCCAAAAGCTAGGAATGAACACAGCGTGAGCACGTTTCAATTTTGTTTAATTACTCATTTATTTATTTATTCATTTGTTTGATATGTGTCACACTTAGAGCACGATCGAACCAGACACGCAACGCAGTCAACGGCTTGCGCGGTCGACCACGTTGTTGCGCACCCGAAGCGGTGGCGTCGCGTCTGAACGCTGCCTAACAGTGGGCCCTGCTATGCGACAAGTGATACACATTATGGGACTAACGGTAGGTAACATGACAACATAAGAACTGGTAAGATAGAATGAAGGGGAAGTCCTTAAATTTAAAAAATGGAGCAGATTCTGAAACGCATATTAGGTACACTGCAATAATAAATAGGTGTGAATATAAGTGCAGCGAAAGTTCGTGCTTCTGGAGAAGTAATGTGAAGATGGAATGAAGCGAACAAGATGAAGATGATCAAGCAGCCTGGTAGATTAGACGTGGAAGCAACCTCTCGCCTTATTCATCCCCACCCCTTAAGAGCCTTGCTCTAGAGTGCGCCCCCGAATTTCAGCTATTGAACACTCAAACTCGCCCTCACTGAGGTTAGCCCCTGATAGAATTAATCTTGGTAGTAGTGATAAGGTCAATCGCTACTGTTCATGGCATCTCTGCAAACAACCACCACACCTCTAGAATGCAGTTACTTTAGCGGTAATGCAGTGACGTCATTACTGATAACAGGACAGGAATGAGTGGTGCTCACTTTTGAGAGTCCGATATTAATGAGATAAGTCCTGAAAGCTTCGGTGACCCTCTCCTCCTGAGTCCCCTTCTCGGATCTTATGAACTACTATCACTTCTTGTCACTCGCCAGCAATGTTCCCGTCCCACCACTTATATTCACCAAGGTTCCAGTGGTTGCTGTGGATCGTCGTTATGATAATGGTGACAATATCTTCTTCTGAAATGCCTTATCAAATCTTATCGACCGCTAATAGTTCGTGTCGCCCACTAATAATTTTTTTGTCCCATACTCTGTTTCATGTCTTGGATCAACGCTAGCTGGATGCTATAGCCCGTACTGTGAATACGGTGACCTTGCTCTTCTGTCGCGCTGCTTATCCAATCTTATCAGCTGTTATCACTTCCTGTCCCCACCAACAATGTTCTGTCCCATACCCCTCGTTATATCTTGGAATAAACACTTAGCTGTTGCTGTCACACGTGTTCAGGTTATGTGGACTCTCCCCTTCTGAGGGCTCCTTATCGTAATCTTATCGGCTGTTATGATTTCCTATCCACCAATAATGTTCTTGTCTCACTCTCTGAACCACTTCCCGAAACCAAGGTTACACGCTCACTGCGACGGGTGCTATGAATTTCGTGACAACAGACGGACACACACACACACACACACACACACACACACACACACACACACACACACACACACACACACACACACACACACACACACACACACACACACACACACACACACACACACACACACACACACACACACACACACACACACACACACACACACACACACACACACACACACACACACACACACACACACACACACACACACACACACTTAGCGGATTATATAGTAGGATTGGGAAGAAAGTCCCACAAGTACCTAAGGATACACCTAGGGATATCACCAGATGCATCCACTTTTACGACCTGTCCTTAGGTACTTACATCATTGCCACGGCCCCATCTCAATCCGAGATGTTACACATAAGTTATCCGAACTTAAAAGATTGGAAACTGAGTTCCAATTACCCATATAACATGGGGGTCCTCAAAGAATCAAGCGTTTCCACTACGCTTTACATAAAAAATCTGGCAGATGTTCTATGCATGTCGGACCGACCATGCCAGAAAAGATGACTACATTCAGAACAGATGAAAAAACTGGGAATCCAAGTTACAAGGTCTACTTTTGGAGCAAAATTACTACATACTCTCACGATAGAGGGGTAACTGGAATAACAACAATTGAGATCACATAGTGCCATCTGTAACACACTGCTCGCTGCTTTCGAAGTCGTCGACATCATCGCACGTTCCTCTTCCAGTTCTATCGTACAAATGACCATGGAAGTCCATCGCTGGTTTGACCGTATTTATAGTCTCGTCAGGGACCTCCACACTTCGTGACAGAACACACACACACACACACACACACACACACACACACACACACACACACACACACACACACACACACACACACACACACACACACACACACACACACACACACACACACACACACACACACACACACACACACACACACACACACACACACACACACACACACACACACACACACACACACACACACACACACACACACACACACACAGACAAACTTAGCGGATTATATATAGATGTAGGAAAGTCGTGTCAGTGCTCTGACTTATTGGGCTTTCTTATTATTCTAACTCAATAATACAGTGGCGAATAGGCAATATAACTCGTCATTGTTAGCCACTACAGTTCCCCACCTAATGGGCAGGCAAGCATTCCCCCTCTCCCAGCACTGGGGAGGCTGCGAGCAGAGTAAGTCAGGGGACTCTCGACTGATGTCATCAAAGTTGCTAAAAGTTTTCTTGGCTGAGAAAGCTTACGAAGGCGGAGCAGGTAGCAGTCCTAGGGGACTACGTAAGGAGAATTATGTAGCGGGGACTCTCTCCCAGATCTCCTCAGATATTTGGTAGGTCTCCATAGCAGGTATGGGGTCTCGCGTACTACGAACGAGGTGTCCCGAAGCTAGTCTCGGTCATTTTTCTCCAACGATTCCCATCGGTTCCAGGAGCTGAGCGACGCAAATGGTAGCGGTGACCGTCTGTTCTCACAGGGCAGCACGTTCTGCAGCATCTACCTCGCGTCAGGAAGCAGCCACAGGAGCCTTCTTGGAATGATGCCCGGTATCGACTTGGTAGATAAGGGTCTTCTCGTTAGGAGAGAACCCCACCGTACTGTGTGGGTTAAAATTTCAAAGAGCGGACCCATCTCTCATCTCCACTGAGCAGTCTCCTAGAAACTCCTTCTGACGAGGGCGTAGAAGGGGAGACTCACCAAGCGGTACCCATGTGCACAGTGTGCCATCGGTCAAGGTATGAGTGATCCATCGAGCTAATACTTTTCGGTAGTCAAGGCTTACAGGCGGTCGACGACTGCAATTGGGTACAATGGAGCCTTGTCGCAAGACTGCGGTGTAGTCTCCGGATCCTCCTTGTCTGCTTCGAGAATGGTGGAGTCTTCCACTCCGTGGAACCGTCCCAATCAAGGCTTGCCTTCGGTGTTCGAGTCTCTTTTCGCGAAGCAAGCGAACCAAAAGCGAATGATCCTGATGGTAGTGGTGTCCTCCAGCAATGCACTGTTGATGTTGCTGGCAGCGCTGTGGCTCCAGTGCTGCGGGGCCACTGATAGAATGATGACCCGAAGACACTTCTGTGAAACTGACATGAAACTGACTGAAACTGACAAAGCTAGACCCAGGAAAGAGCAGGCGCCCTGCCACACCTCTTGCACGAAAGCTCTTAGAATGGCATGGTATGTTACGTCATGTTCAAGCATCGAGAATCAAAAACTGTAACCTTCTTAAAAACACTGACAGGACTTTCCTTCCCACCTATATATAGTAGGAAGTTATGAACATGAAGAAGTGACAAATAGTGAGAAATTATAAGGATGAAGAAGTGATACACGATGAGAAGTTGTACGAGGAGTGCTACAGCTCAATTATCAGGCTCCCATTAGTCAAAGCATAATTCATTCTTATTCCATTCATAGTTACACTAGTGTTCCCGTCTTACCGCCTATATCACATATTGGAACTGACTCCCTGCAGTTGCTGCAACCCTCGCTGTGGATTTAGCGGCTCTACTCCTAGCGTCTTATCACGCCTTATCAACTCTTAAAAAAGGCTCGAATTCCCGGACGGACACACAGACAGACATAGCAAATTATATATAGTACCTGGCCGCTAACTGGATTTCGGACTAAAGGTGGATATTTGCAAAAATCTGTCTCTTGCCGAAAACATTACCATTTCGAGTACCATTTTGGAGTTGGGTTCATGCAGAAGTGGGTACGCTTCGAAGGCAAGGAATGCTTGAACCAATGGTACGTTCTAGTAGACGGGAATGCATGTAGCTGTGGGCGCTTCAGCCAGGGGGGGGAGTGTGCACGCAGCAGTACGACCCCTAGCTTGGCGGCAATGTGTGAAGTCGAGAGCAATGAAAGAAAGGAGGGGTCTTGGCAGCTGCCGTGAAGAAGCCTCTTCGATTCACTGGAACACATTGCGGTGCACGCGAAATAGTGTGCGTTAGCCAAAATGGTATGCTTTCAGCGATGTACCATCTTTCGATAACAACACTCAGCTCTATTAATCAACGTTTTTCTCCATGGTACTTGTGCAGGTGTCACGCACTATCGTGCGCTTCCTTGTTGAACTCACTTTACGCGTTTTGTTTCACCAACTCTATATTTTCTTGCTATGCCAAAATCCAGCATGTAAATGACTTTCTCAAACTCCCCAAGTCCAATAGCAAAGTTTTGTGGCTTAATATCCCTGAAATAGAAGATAATCTTATAAACACTTTTTATCCATTCCGCAGAACCAAGAAAGGAGTCACCTATGTAAGTAACCAGCTTCGTGAAGATCCCATATCGCTTGTAATGTTTGCAACGAAGAGTTCATGGCGGTGGGCTTTGAGTAGTCACGATATAGGACCTTATGCCGAATATCTTCAAGCGAACTGCCCACTAGGCCCATGACCAGAAACTGCAATCTCTCCATTGT